ACTGACCCCAGTGTGTAGTGCTCCCCTCCCTGTGTCCATGTGTTCTCATTGTTCAACACCCGCCTATGAGTGAGAACATGCGGTGTTTGATCTTCTGCTCTTAAAATTGAGAGTCTTCCCCTTCTAACCATGATGAAATAACTGGTACCAGACTGGGTTCTCCTGTCATAAACAACTATAAAACTAGACAAAATATGTGATAACTGATTTGGGACAATAGCAATTAGGTAGCACAAAACAGTGATTCCAGAGAGATGGGAAGCTCATGTGAGGAGGCTTCTCGTCATTCAGTCCTCTGCCCGGGTTGTAATGGTAGCACAATCACAGCAGAGCAGGCTGATATCTGAGCAGAGGATGGTGAGCTAGCTGAGCTGAGGAGAATGAGGTCAGAGTTTGAGTCACATCAAGTGGCTGGAATCTGCACAATGGAGCATCAGAGAAAGGGAGGTGTGTAGGGGGTTTCCTGCAAGTCTGTGGCTGAGAACCAGACTGCACGTGCATGAAGAAGATTACCTGGTGCTTACCAGAGCTAAGCTTTTGGGAGATTGAAAGCAGACAGACTAAAGCTTTCACAGTGTTGGAGGTCAGGCAGTGTGGTGGGGCTGGATGCTTGATTTTCAACCTTGTTAGAGTGAAGACTTCTCTTGAGCACATGGTTAACATCTCAGGCATCATTTGAGACACCAGAAAATTGTGCCTAAGGTACAAGAACTATCCTTGATTTGTCTCAATAGAGTCTAAATTAAAGCACCCAACAAGAACTTCAGGGTAGACAGTTTGCAGTTTGAATCCTGTGATTTCATCACAGCAAAGGAAAAAAAATAAACAGAATGAAAGGACACCTCTAAGGGAATAGGAGGAAATATTCGCAAACTATGTGTCTGATAAAAGATTAACATCCAAAATATTAGAGGAACTCAAACAACTTGACAATAAATACCAAATACCTGATCAAAAATGAGCTAAGGACCTAAATGGACATGTCTCCGAAGAAGACATACAAAGGGCCAACAGGTGTTTGAAAAGGTGCTCAGTGTCTCTAGTCATCAGGAAAATGCAAACTAAAACCACAATGAGATATCACCTGACACTTTGTTATAATGGCTATTGTCAAAAAAAACAAAGGATGACAAATGTTGATAAGGGTGTGGAGAAAAGGGAGCTTTTGTACACTGTTGGTGTGAATGTAAATGGTACAACTATTATGGGAAACAGTGCAGAGTTTCCTCAAAAAGCTAAAAATAACTAGAAACTAAAATAGACCTGTCCCATGACCCAGCTATCTCACTTCTGGGTATAGATCCAAAGGAAATGAAATCAGTATCTTGAAGAGATATTTGCACCCCTATGTAGCATTATTCACAATAGCCAAGATATGAAATCAGCCTAAGTGTATGTACATTGACACATGAATGAATAACAAATATGTGGCCAGGCGAGGTAGCTCACGCCTGTAATCCCAGCAGTTTGGGAGGCTGAGGTGGGTGGATCACTTGAGACCAGCCTGGGCCACATGTTGGAACCCCGTTTCTACTAAATATGCACAAAAATTAGCCAGGTGTGGTGGTTCATTCGTGTAATCACAGATAATTTGGAAGCTGAGGCATGAGAATCGTTCAAAACCAGGAAGCAGTGGTTGCAGTGAGTGGAGATCGTGCCACTGCACTCTAGCCTGGGCAACAGAGCAAGCTTCTGTCTCAAATAAAAAAAAAGAAGAAGAAAGAAAGAAAATGTGATACACGTACGCACGGGCACACACACACACACACACACACACACAAACGCACACGCACGCACACACACACACGAGGAAATTCTGTCATTTGTGACAACGTGGATGAACCTGGAGGACATTATGTTAAATTATATAAGCCAGGTAGAGACAGACAGGCGAAAAAGAGACAGTATTTAGGTTCCACATACATCTCACTTGTATGTGGAACCTAAAACAGTTGAGCTCATAGAAACAGAAAGTAAAATAGTGACTGTCAGGGGCTGGGGCTAAATAAGTTAGGGAGAGCTAAGGTACAGCATGGTGACAATTGCAAATTAATCTGTATCATATACTTGAAATCTGCTAAGAGAATTAATCTTAGGTGTTTTCACCACAGGGGAAAAATTTAACTATGCGAGATGAAGGATATATTAATTAGTTTGATTGTGGCAATCATTTCACTATAAATACGTGTCTCAAAATATCACATTCTAGACCTTAAATGTATGTCATTTTTATTTGTAACATATCCCACAGTAAAGCTGGAGAAACATAAAATAATTGAATTTATTATTTAAAAAAATCTTCCCATACGAGAAATGTTGTGATGAGTTCACGTTGTGATGAGTTCACCAATACATGCTATCACAGATTTACAAAAGCAGTGACATCAATATTACACAGACTTTTTCCAAAAATGTAGGAGAGACTGCTTCCTAATATATGTTATTAGTCCAGCATAACCCTGATATCAAAAGTTGCCAATGCCATTAGAAGAAAAGGAAATGACAGATCAATATCTCTTGTGAACACATAAACCAAAATTCTCAACAAAATATAAGCAGATGAATCCAGCACTATATGAAAACTGCATCTTAGTATTGCAAAGACGTTTCAACATGGAAAAATTAATCAAAGCAATTTCACACATTATAGAATAAAGTAGAAAAATCATATAATAATCTCAGTAGATGCAGCAAAAGAGTTTGATGAAATCCAAAACTCATTCATGATGAAAAAAACTCAGCAAATTGCAAAGAGAAGGAAACTTTCTCAACCTGATCATGGGCATCTATTAAAATCATACAGCAACCAGCATTGTTAATGGTTAAAGCCTGAATGCTTTCCCCCAAGACTGCAAATAGACAAAGATGATCAGTCTCATTACTTCCCTTAAATACTGTACTAGATGTCCTAGCCAATGCCATAAGGCAAAATAAATAAACAAATGAATTTTTAAAATGACAGAAATATTTTAAAAAGGAGGAAATAAAAATGTATTAACAAGTGTTGTGATTATCTGTATAGAAAATCTTAAGGATTTTATAAAAAACTACTAGATCTAAAAATGAATTTAGCAAGGTCACAGCATACAAGATGAATATATGAAGTTAATTATTATGAACAACAAATAATTTAGAAAATAAAATTTAAAAATGAGTTGGGAGTAAATTTGTTGAAAGCGGTGCAAGATTTCTACATGGAAAGCTATAAAACATTTCTGAAAGAAATTAAGGAAGATCTCAATTAACTGAAAGTTATGTCCTGTTAGTGGATGGGAAGACAAGATGGTGTTAAGATGTTCTTTGTTCCAAATTGATATGTAGATTTAATGACATTCCAAACAAAATGTCAGTAGGCTTTTTTTTTGGGGGTGGGGGTGGGGTAGGAATTAACAAAGTTAACCTAACCCGATCTAAAAATGCAAAAGACCTAACATAGCTGAAACAAGATTTAAAAAGAGCAAAATCGGAGGACTCACGCTTCCTGATTTCTGTGGTGCTACAAAAACTAGGTATCTGTGTAGAAAAGAAATGAATTCAATCCTTCACTCACATTGCTTTCAAGAATTAGTTTGAAATGAATCATAGATTTGAGAATAATGCCTTCCACTATAAAACTTTTAGGAGATAGCACAAGAGAAAAACTTTGCAATTTAGGGGTAGACAGATATTTCTAGGGACACCGAAAGCACTAACTAAAGAAGAATAATGACCAATTGCACGTCATCAAATTAAAATTGTTTTCCCTGCTGAAGATATTGACAAGAAAAAGAAATAACAAACCACTGACTGGAAGAGAGTATTTGCCATGCTCGTATCTGGCAAAGACTTGTATCCAGAGTATACAAAGTTCTCTTACCACTCAATGATAGAAGGCAAACAACTAATAAATAAGAGAAGTTCTGAATAGGCATTTCACAAAGGAAGACACACAATTGGCCAGTGAGCAAATGAAATGATGCTCAATGCCATTAGCTATTAGGAAA